TTGCAATTTTTTACCTGCACCAAAATCTTTCAAAAACATTTTTCTAGAGGTGATTCCGAATCGAATGAGCTATCGCTCATATTTTCAGGACCTTCATCTCTATTTTTCATGTTGTTGAACTTGTTGATTTGACTCGTTGAAAGACCCTATTGTAACAAAAATATTTGAATAAAAATTTGGGTTCAAATTTCAAAAGAACAATCAATTTGTTTCTTCAGTCTTATCAATTAGGTCAAGATGTCGCCTATTCTGCCTCAAATAGACATAACACTGTGGTAATTATATCAATGTTTCAAAAAAATGTGCATAGAGCATTCATATTTATCAGCAAAATAATTATTGTTTGACTGAGATGTTATCTCGTTCTCTCTGATGTTTTGTCACATTTTTTTTCCCTTCTTCGAAATCATCGATTGTATACCTTACTTAGGCGCCCGAGAGTTCATATTTTTCAAAACATTGTTTGTATCTATATGAGTTAGAAAAGCAGGTGCAGGGTAACACAAGATTACTATATTGAAATCATAAATTATAAACTGTAAACTATAAACTATACATTAAATACAAGTACAAGTAGGTACGGATTACCTAATTCCACTAAACATAAAAAGTATACTTTTTGTTAATATAAAAACAATATTAAATTATAATCATTGAAAACGATATTCAGTCACTAGGTAGGTATACGTTATTTTTACTAGCATTGAATATCTATTCTGAATGGAATATATTTTATTCGTTTCACTACATTAGCTTAGTACCCTTGAATAAAATCCTGTTAGAAATATTGCTTCACTATTATTACCCCTCATATAATAATGCCAATTTTTTTTTCCAAATCATAATTCCTTTTTTTTATTCACAAAACTAGCTTTTGCCCGCGGCTTCGCTCGCGTTAAGAAGTATTATTATTAATTAGGTATAGTTTTTGCGACTTTACTTTTGTTTACCGTCTGTAAAAAATTAGGGCCTACAAAACTTCTTTGTACACAATATTCTTAACTGATTTGTCATTAGGCGCTAAAACTATCAAGCTATTGGGTGAACCTACTCGTGAGCAAGCAACATAAAACTGTCAATACCCGCAAATTTGAGAGTTTGCCCCTGAGACTTGTTTATTGTCATGGCAAAGCAGACATTTAGGGGAAACTGTAATCGTTTAAATTCGAACGGAATATCATTAGGTATTAATGGGATTCGTGGTATAAATACAGTTTCCCCTTTCGCACACC